TAGCTTTCGTTCTTCTTTCTTGCTCATCAGTGAGATCTGCTCAGTGAAGCACACTATCTGTCTTGGAAGATTGATGGTCTTGATGTGTAAAACAGCCAACATTATTCATTACTCATGAGGACTGCAGTCATCACTCATCCTACAACAGGCATGATCAGGGCAAAATGATCACTCGCTTCTTATTCACATCTTGCAACAGAGGAAAGAAAACCTGGCCAAGAGCTTGCAAATGGGCGTCTCTGTGTTGTGCTAAATTGTGGCAAAATTGTCAAAAAGGGATAGTCAGCGATAGCGTCTATAATGTGAATCCTTGCATATTAAATGTTCACCTGGAGTTTCCTGTCATGTTCCAGTAATATTTGTTCCTGAAGTGTACTGAAGTAGTATATCACATGACATGGTTAGGCTATGTTTGAGACTGAGAATGTGACCACAAATACTAATATACTAAATATCTTGTAAAATAATTTGAATCTTCTGCCAAAATAATATTGACACAAAAGGTAGATTTAGAATGATAGCCTGTCCTTTTTCACATTTGTAAATTTAGATGATTTCTTCCTCGTGTAAACTATTTGCTCTTATCAGTAGGCCTGTTTGCCATGCTCTCACATGTACAGTATGGTAAACAACTAATATCCTGTCCTACAGATATCTGAACTTTTGTTTTCGATTAAGTGGAAAAAGAATTTATTCAATATAATAAAATGACTTTATTTCCTCGCATTTCACTGGTGTGAACAGACACACTGGTGTTGTATAGTTGCAGTACAAGATGGCGGTCAGACAAACGTGTGGAGGCGCATAGAGCGGTATTCATCACCAGCTAATGATACAAAACTGTATTAAAACATCGAACGGCAGGGAATAGGAGGCTAATAATGACCTCATTGGCTTTCAATGTTCCATATAATTCAATTTCAATTTTATTAACTTTATTTGTACAGCCAAATATCATATATCACAAATTTGCCTCAGAGGGCTTTACAATCTGTACAACATGACATCCTCTGTTTTTGAGCCGTTGCAACGATTGAAGAAAATGTCCCAAAAAAACTCTTTAACAGGGAAAAAAAGGAACAAACCTCACGGAGAGCAACAGAGGAGGAATCCTTCTCCCAGGAAGTGCAATAGATGTCATGCGTACAGAATGAACAACACAATAAAATCACAACATAGTTAATCCATATGACGGAAATGATACATAAAATGAGTAGTAATAGCAGTAGTAGCACTAATGATAGCAGGAATAAAAATCGAAAAATGATTTCTAATAATAACAGCAACAGTGGATTGAATAGAATGATAATACAAGCAGTAATAGTGATAGAAATGTGACTAATAATAATGAGGCAGGGCAGGACGCAATTACGTGGAATGTTTTGTGTTCTTTGATATCTATATATTTTATTTCTGTGGCTCACAGACATTACCAGCGGGAACACTGTGGCCCTTATTCATTCTGAAAGCACAATATCTGATACATTTCACTCAGACAGTCAGTCAGTGACAGACTTTTTCCCCAGGCAAATGGCAGTGCTTTTCCCGGTTTTTCTCATGCCGACTACGATACAGCACCACCACATTGGCGTGATTCCGCAATTGCTGATACGAATGAAGGAAATCTACCAAGTGCAATGCTTGTTTGAAAAAAACTGATTTCCATTAAGGCTGGAAGCGGGACGTCATTTGACGGAGGCGGTCGCCTCATAATTCTCTATGCAGGACAAACCCTGAAAAGGCAGGTTGGATACAGCATGCTAAACTATTCACATCGAGGGCAAACACAGATTTTTCGGAAATCCTTGCTTTGATCTAAAAGAGGCATCAGTAGTCTAAATCCTCTGCAGTTTGCCACCTCCTCTGTAGCTCACCTGCATTCTTAACTACCTCACTGTTGTTGCTCATCAGTGTCACCACATGCTAAGTCTGCTCCACATTGTCTCACTGACTGTCATGTTACACATTCAACCAGTCAAATGCTTCTCTGTTCTAGGTTCCTATTAAGGGGAGGTTTTTAGAAAGGTTTAAATAGTCTAAATGACTTTTCGCCATGCTCTTATTTTAGAGCAGCAAACCAGACAGACAAGAAATGAGCCCGATTATAAGGAGGCTCGGGCTGGCAGGGAGTGTTTATGTGCATGCAAACTCAGTAACTCCGGGCAAGAGAGAAGGTTGTGAGTGTGTTTCAAAAGTGACTGGCAGCACACTGTGCTGAGGGTCCAACTTTGCTGCAAAGTGAGCAATGTAAAATACTTTTGGCCATGCAGTATAATAATATGGTTTGCTGCTTTGGACAGATAGAGGGCACAATAAGAGTGATTTGCTCAGAGATACAAGGGGGGGAGGGGGGCGGCACCGCTATGACAGAGAAACAGATATAGAGGGAGAAAAAGCAGCAGAGCAGGTGAGAGACAGATGGGGGACAAAGCTAAATGGATCCAACACATCCACAATGATTTTGACAAATGGCAGTGACAGAGGGAGATGACTGTCACACACACACACACATACACACACGGCATCAATGATCAGGTGTCACAGGGACAAAAATGGTTAAAAGCCAAAGTTAAGCCAGAATAGTGAAGTAGATTCAGATGGCAAGTAATTGAGAGCAGTTTGAGACACACACACGCACGCACACACACACCAACACATTAAAAACACCCCCCAGCTCCTGCACTGCAGGCTTGCAGACATAAGGGAAGCATGGCTTTCACAGCACACTAAGCCAACTGCTAGAAGCGACAGACTGACGGATTGGTCTGGCAGCGCTTCAAAAACTGTTATTGATCTGTCTAGTAGTCAAGTTGTAACAAGAAAGGTACAATAGTTGGGTGGTTAACTTTACATACGGCCAGGCTTATGCTACTACTATCCTCCCTCAGTACTTGAGATATATAATACGGCTCCAAAAAACTGTTGAGTTTCCAGACATTTGTGGCTCGCTCACACCACCATGTTCTTATGTTTTACCTCACAATAAAATGTGGATTGAAATGTAAGCTGACAAGGTATGAGTATATGCTAAATGAGGCTAATGGAGGACTTGAGACTTCAGTTAAATCACCTGATATTCTTCAAGCCACAGCAGTGGTGTAGCATGGGGGAAAAAGGCAGGTCGTCTGAAAGGAAATTTTAAATATGTCAATATTTTAAAATTCAAAGTCCTGCCACACACACACAAGGACATTTGTATTGTTTTATAGGGTTACCCCATCTTCGTCAATTAGTCGACTCATAGGTCATAAGTAAGTGACCTATTAAAGCTCATCGTTCATAATACAGCACAATTTAAGAGCAAAGAACAAGCAACCACCACAAATCTGCACATGTTTCAACCAATCTCAGCAGACATTATGCCGTATCATAAGACACACGTCACAGGTGTAATTAACCCACTGTGGGTGTTTATGTTCCACGTCTCTGGCATTGTGGATGCTGCCTCACTGGGATCAAATGAAATGGAGACACCAATGACGTTATTGATGAATGATCTGTGTCTGAATCGGTCTGTATGTTATGACTAAACATCTGATTTATACATGGTCCGTGCTGACAGACGCGTCTGTGTGCCGTCACAGCTATTAACAAACATCAGTAAGGTTGACTCTCACTAAAATAATGACAAAAACAGCTACATTCAGACAAACACGGCAGTTAGATAGTCTTGTAACAAGGGTCTATGTTTCGCCCACGCTCCCCTTTGGATGAAAACAAAGCGGTAAAAATGACTGGAACCGTATGAATAGATAACATGTACCGGTAGGTCCATTTCTATTCATGTACTGACTGTGTTGTTTAACACCAAAACCCAAGTCCAAACCAAAGAAATCGTCATTTAAACACGTACCAATTTGACATTGAATAAAATCACGATGGGTGGGATTAAACACTCAACGTTGAAGGCTGCAGACAGATACTCCTACTAGAGTCACAACTTCAGGAACTAGACGGACATGCACGAGTCCTACTTCCTCGTCTTCTTAGGCGTGTTACGGTGTTGTTTTACCATCAATCCATAACCCCCAAAATATTGAATTATCAATGATATTAAATAGCAAAAAGCAGAAAATCCTAAGATTTGACAAGTTAAAAACGGCACCTGTGTCATACTTGTTAATTACGTAAACAGTTATTAATACTCATAATAATATAATTCATTCATTTTAGCACTAGAGCTTTTGGACAACATACCAAAAATGCTAATTCTACAGCCAACTGCGGATCCTTGGTCAGCAGCAGAAACACACGTACTGTGTGTATCTTGATCTCTTTGGACTTCAAAGCTCTGGTAATCAGATGTGTGTTTACTGGCCGTCCTTCATATACATCACAGCAAGTTATTTTCAAAGCTGCTGTCTTCTAATCCAGTGTGTTTGTTTGTGTATGTGTGCGCTATAGTCAGCCAGTCATAACCTCACCAACGCTAATTGAGTGAGTCCAGAAAGTAGAAGCGTGCACAGGTCCTCAGGGGTAAACAGTCAAAGCCTACATCCCACACACACACACACACACACACACACACACACATGCCTGCACACAAACTCAATCTAACGTAATTGATTTTCTAAACACTTCCCAACTTTATGGTCACTGCCAAATGAAAACTCACTCGAATAGGTTGGAGGCGAATGTCAAATGAGGTAAAATGACGTCTGTCTGCATCTGCTGCCGTGCACAACCTTTTAAAGTCCACGTTACAGCTGGAAAAGTTTTCCTCAGTTAGTCTTTTTCGAGTGATGGCCCTTAAGATTCTTCTGTCATTGCTTTGTTGTAAATTCTACTTTCAATCTTTGATTTTCTTCATTCTTTTCTTCAGAGATTTGTAGAGTGAAATCTACCTACTGAGCCTGGCAGACGGAGCCAGGCTCGCTCCCATAGAAGCTGCTTCATTATTCCACTGCTCTTTTTTTTTTGTGGTGACAGAATCCATCATTCATTGTCATTGCTGTAAATGCGTCCGTCATATCACAGACATTGTGTAATGAAAAGTCTGACATCGGTGATGGAAAAAAACAATAATCAAATAACAATCTGGAGCGAATGTTTTCATACATTTTATTTGTATTAAATATTAACAATAAGGAGACAGTGGACAAAAATCCTCTGAAATTTCATGTGAACAACAACTGTGAGCGTGACAAAAAAAAAATGGTGTTGGTGAAACTGAAGAGGAATACGTTGGGTAAACACACACTGCAAGGTTCTTTTGACCATAGATAAGCCCATCAAACAATTTCAAACCTGTTTAGAAGGACCATGGAAAGTGAGAACGGACTCTCTGAAGAAGGATTTTTCTATTTTCCTCCACGTATGGGCGGATTATCCCCAATGAATATATGGGCACACTGGTCCGGGGCTCACAGTGCGAGTCTACCCAACAGTTTTATATACCTAGACACAGACTTCATCCTAAACAGAAAAAAAAGCAGCTTTAATAGATCAACCGTCCACTTTTCTGAAACAGTTAGGCAAAAGTTTGCAAAGTCATGTCTTTCAAAGTAATCTCTCAAGCAGGAATAGTCTTAGTGCAAAGGCTGGATTTCACCTATGAGTGAGTCAAAACTAGCATCGGGTCTAACTCTAACATGGAGTTCATTAAGTTTGTCAGATCTGTTTTCTGATGCATTACAATAGCCTGAACAACTTTGGTAATAGCTCAGACCTCTGACTGCATTTATCATTCGTCAATGAAACAAACTTTATTGTTGTGTTTTCATCCGTTACGGCTGACAAACAATGTAAGTGAACCCATATTCTTTAAATGTCATTTACATGAGCACGAAACATTTGGGATCATGAACAGTGAACATCAACAGTTAAGTAATCTATGTACAGCTTAATTTCATTATCACATTAATTTGTAAAGAAAAGCAAAACATAATTACAGTAAGCATATTAAAAAGCTAGGACAGTGTAATCTCTGTGATTCATTAAAGTTATAATAAAAACATCATGATTATTACAGTGGTCATTTCATGACCACTGTAATAATTTGTTAGTGCCAAGAAGCTTTTAGGAAACAGATTCTATGGCAATAAATAAGGCAAAAAACAATAAATAACTTCACAACAAATGAAAGTCTCTTAAATGCACGGCATGTTGCTCAGTAGAATGAAGAATTGAGGTGTGTGACGTGTGCCCACTTCATGATTGCAGACCCTCGTTTCCCAGCAGCGAAATTCAACATCAGTTCATTCTTCCAATTACACGGGGGAAGATGTTTTTCAAAGAGCTCAGTTTCCACATTTGAACTGCCATCTCAGATGTGGCTTTTTCCTTTCTTGATATGTCTCATAATCAGCAACCCACCTTTGTGGTTTCTCAGTTTGAAACACTGCGAGGGGGAATGGATAGATATCCGAGAGGGCAGTGCAAACACAGCCAAATCCTCCCTTATGACATTTCACTTAGTGCCATTATGATGCATGCGTTGATGAGGGATGCAGATAGCACTTCTTAACAGGTCAGCCATTGACACCGCATTGTGTCAGGGAATGCTCGGTTCACATTGCAGCTGTGGTTCTCAGTCCCCCGGAGCCAGATTACTGCTGGCCGTCTACACTACCAGGTCGCATAATTACATTCAGCAGGTGTAAAATGATTCCCTGATTAGACAGCTGGAATGAAAATCAGGCCCCCAATGCTCAGGACTGAGAGCCACTGCAGTAGCGTCTGTTATAGATACACTGTGACAATACATGCTCTGGGTAAGTACGCTAAGCAGGGTAGAGACATGGAGGGAAGGAGAGACCCGGGACATGATAGTGGGGGAAGGAAGATAACCGACTGAAGAGGAGCACAGGAACAAAAGGAGCTACTTAGTTTGCATGCAGTGGAGAGGGATGCTGGGGGATAGAGGGAGGGACATGTATAGGGAGAGATTAAGGGGGAGTAAAGAGTGGATGGATGGAAAAAAACAGAAAATAGGGTAGAGAAAGAAATAAGGACAGCAAGTGAAAAAGAGAGCAAATAATGTGCAGGTGAAGCAGAACAGAGGGAAAACTGTAGTTTCCGCCAGTGGGAGCTGAGCTGTATTCCTTCAGGCTTTTCCTCACCTCTACCAGGTCCTTGCCTCATGAGGTGTACATTACAACAAACACAATCTGTACAACCTCCCAACAGCCGGGTGCCGTCTAGAGGCAGACAAGGTCAACAACTTCCCCAAAATCTAACATTCTCTGTAGATGCCGGGAGCGGTGAACTCCTGGCCTGTGCTTAGCAGCAGCGCAGGTTACCACCTCCCGGCCGACATTATAATATTTGTTTACCTGAAATCCTGTTTGACGCTTCAACAGAGCAAATACAAATATATTCAACAGTGGCAGATTGAAGAGGCTGTCATGCAGTCAAGTTGCTCACAGATTTTTAAAAGATGTGTTTTCAAACTTATCAAATCCAGGTCATGGCAGTGATGATATATGTAAATCTCTATCAAAAGCTATGAGTCCTAATGTCCCAATGACAGCATAGCCTCACAGTACCAAATGCCATCACGTTGGATCCCTTTTTTAAGAGATGCCCAACACATCTGAGATCAGGAAGATAAAAGAAGGCGATCGTAAAAGGACTGGGTACCATCGAAAAACTCAAATGGAAAAGTTCAGTAAAACATGTTTTCTATTTCTTCCTTTTTCATGATCAGGTAAACAACTCTCTGTGCAGTATTATGTCACTTGGACGAGATCGGACTCGATTGATTTTCCTTTGAATCCAAAAGATGGATTTTGATTTTGTCATTTAGCAAAGCACCAGTAGGTCTCCCTGATCAATACCCAGCCCTAAAGACGATGTGAAGAGGTTCATTCCAACACCTGATACTTTAACCCTCATTTTGGGAAAAAAATACAGAATGCAGGTTGTGCCAAATCCTAAAACCTGTTCTGTCGGTCTCATTTTCTGATGTGTTTTGATAAAGTTAGCTAAGGGTTCATTCAGTAAAGCTTTAGTGTCATTTTGTCATTATACATGTTGAATTATTGAAATGGCAGATATCTTATTTTAGAATGAAACTCTTCATGTCTGTACTGTACTAATCTAACATCGCAGGTACACATTGATTCTTGTATTTCTAAGCTAAAAGTTCTTGTAACATCTTATCCATGTAGACTCAAAAACACTCAACAAGCTCGTGTCTTAGAGGTTTTGGCATGTTTGATTCCCTTCAGAATCAGCTTCATGAAACACTGAGATGAGGGTTGATACTGAAAAGTTATTAAAAGACTTTTAAAGTCACCCAGATCTCTATTCTGTTGCAGTACAAAATGCTCACCTCTAGTCTCCTGAATTTCTAAAAAGCATGCAGTAAACGGTTCATGGATGTGGACTATCATCTCAACATTTGTCTTTTCATCTGGACTTCTGTTGGTGGACATCAAGGAATGAGGAGTTGATCTGACGTAGGATTTGGCAATTTGAGTCAAATGATGGTCATTTCCATCGTTCATCAAGCAGCACATGTTTGAACTTTTAAAGATGATCAAATAAATGGATAAAAACAAAAACACAATGCAAACCTCATCTCTGCATTAGCGAACTCTTATTTGTGCAGATTGTGAGGCAGCTATATCACAGAAGACGTCTCTGTGAGAGAGTGTGTGTCAAAGTGTGTGTGACTAGATCTGTGAACGTGTGCATGGATATGAGGCTGTGAGTCCTCTGTGCACGTTGTGGGTCTGAGGGCGTAAGCACATCTAAACTGTCAGCATGACACACACCGTGGGAGTTCTGATAGACGGGTGAGTGCAAACTCAAAGCCAGATATGTATGTGTATGTGTGCGTGTGTGTGTGTGTGTGTGTGTGTGTGTGTGTGTGTGTGTGTGTGTGTATGTAACCTGGCATATGAGTGTGTTAAAAGGTGCAAAACGAAGAAGGAAATGTCAGCAAAAGGTTGGTCTGGATTGTAAAGAGCGACAAGCATGATTGTAAGCGCGTGTGGTTGGTGATTCAGGTGGCATTGGGACAGCGGAACACAAGCAATTTGTACCGAAGGAGCAGCAGTTATTTCTAGAAAGTCACACATTTTGTCGCTCAAGTCAATATGGATGGCGTAAATGTTTGTGTGCCCTCAACTGTCTCTCTGTGTCAGCGCTTGCAGTTCGGCAGTCTGTAGGGAATGTTGGAGGAAGACATTTTTACGACTGTAGCTATGCAGAGACAGAGGGCCTCGAGGTGGTTGCCCTAAGCGACCCGTAAACGTGGAGGAAGAGGAGGAGGAGGAGGAGGAGGACGCTGGGGAAGGAGTAGGAGGTGGAGGGGAGGCTCGGATGGGCGATGAGATGCTTGGGGAGGGGCTCCCTCTGCTTGCAAGACTGTGGAGGCTCGACGAGGCGCTGGCCCCGACTGCACGAGGGATATGGCTCGGGGGGTGGTGCTCTCCTCCTCCTCCTCTCCTTGCCCCACCTGACAGACTCACTCCTCCTCCTCCTCCCGGAGTCAAGGACTCAGAAGAGGAGGACACCCCCTCCGGCTGCCTGGAGGACAGAGATGGAATTGCGTGGTGTTTAGCAGCCGCTGAACCGGAGCCGGGGCATTGATTTGGACTATGGCCCAGGTGTGAAACTTGAAGCTGGGCTGGAGTAGTAAGTGAGGCTTGGGCTGACGCTGCAGAAGTGGCACAGGACAAGTTGGAGGAGACTGGAGCTAGATTGGGAGCAGGGTTACGGGCTGTGGAGTGTGCCAAGATGCCCTGGCAGTGGCGCTCCTCCCTGGCAGTGTGTCGTTCAGAGACGGGCGGGCGGCCATGCAGAGGAGGACAGTAGTGGGGGAGGTGCTGGTTACAGAGGTCCCCTCCGAGTGCTGCCCCCACTCCCCGCACTGCCCTTCGTTCCCTTGAAGCCAGGCTGCTGCTGCTGCTGCTGCTGCTGCCTAGTCCTGACCACCGGCCTGGATGACTGGTCTGAGAGAGAAGAAGAGAGACAGAAACAGGGGAAAACACATGTTAGAGAGACTGTACCATTTACTCTGCTTTCTGTCTGTGTGATGTGGACTGAGAGAGAGAGAGAGAGAGAGAGAGAGAGAGAGAGAGAGAGAGAGAGAATGTGTGTGTGTTTGTGGGAGAGAGAGAGAGAAAGAGAGAGAAAGAGACAAACAGAGAGACAGACGGCATGAGAGAGAGCCCTGTTGAGTGTTCACTATAGATTGTTAATTTGGTTGACATTTGGAGAACGATCTCTCTGGGGTCCTGCAGCTTGTTCTAATTGTTTCTAAACCAACCGGAACCCTGCTCACTAAAGAACAGACACACGCACGCAGAAACAAACACACACAGAAACAGGACAACGTGACATACGCATGTATTGAGATGTGCGCTCAAGGTACGCACAAAGCCCCACGCACAAAGCAGTGGGATCTCACTCTCTCCCTCAAGCACACAAGCACAGAGACGCGCACACACACACACACACACACACACACACACACACACACACACACAC